GTGTGTGTGTGTGTGTGTGTGTGTGTGTGTGTGTGTGTGTGTGTAGGTGGGGAGGGTAAGGTTGGGAAGGTTGTGGACATTCGCGGCTGGGACACAGAGTCTGGTCGCAGCGTAGCTAGTGTCACCTGGTCAAATGGCACCACCAATGTCTACCGAATGGGCCACAAGGGCAAGGTAGACCTCAAATATGTGTTGGACGGCCAAGGAGGCTTCTATTACAAAGATCACCTACCTAAGCTTGGTAAGGAGGCACTTCTTTATCATTTCTGGACCGCACTTTGCTGTAAATATTATTAATCAATTTCTCTTGAACTATAGCTTAAAATGTACAAAATGAGCTAAAACTTGGCGTGATAGTAGCTGAAGGTCATTCAGATTGCTTAAGATATTTTTTCCTTCAATAAATTCTAATTGTATTTTATGTTTTCTGTATAAACTTGTTTTGAAATATAAAAGGTCACTAGATAACTAAACAGACATTGTTTTTTCTTCTATTTTTGCAAGACCTCAATAAAATAATTGCCCCTGTATCTATGATACATTCACAGACCTGGAAAAAAAAGTAATTTTTTTGGGTGCCTGCCAATGCTGGAGCAAATCAAGCAGAAAAGAGGCTGATTTTGGTCACTTGCCGAGTAAATGGTGCATCTCTAGTGTATATGTTTGTTGATAGAAAAGGCGTATGATTCTTCTTTAAAGTTGTTAATATGTGCTTTGAAAAGTTGTTGGCGTTTTGTTGACACTGATGCCTGTTTACTCAGGAGAGCACGCAGAGCTGCAGCGTCAGGAGAGTGCTGACGGCCACTCTTTCCAGCAGGGCGACAAGGTCAAATGTCTCCTGGAGGTGGACATCCTGCGACAGATGCAGGAGGGTCATGGAGGGTGGAACCCCAAAATGGCAGAGGTATGAAAACCTATACTTGACATGACAATATTAAAGTACCTGTGACATCAAATTTTTGTAATAAACATGAATGCGTTTTTGGAAAGATAATATTGACAACATGTTGCAAAACAAATTTCACGTCGCTGAGATGAACGGTTGTTGAGATATTTGCTTATGAAGAAACAGGAAGTGATGTCAAAGGGGAATGTCTGCATGTAAACAGAGCATTGTTACAAAAGCTAACAAAAAAGACTGTAGAGAAGAATCTGATGTTTCTTTACATTATTTTTAGTCGCTATCAAAGAGACAAAGAAGAGTTAAAGGTTAAATCATTTAGTTTTAATAAATAAAGACCAGAGTTAATTTTATTAATGAGTTCCCCTTTGATGTCACTTCCTGTGTCAGTTTGACTGAGCCAAATTCAAAAGAAAATTGGCCAGTTATGTGACAAAATGGGTACAATCATGTGTACTATGCCAATTTTCTTAAGTATAAAGATACTTTCTTTGACTTGTATTTGAAGGAAAGGCATGTCACAGGCACTTTAATACAAACTAAAGAAAAACTCAAGACAACTTCAGCTTGATTTGCTAAAGAATGTAGAATTATCAAACCTACTTGGTTTTTTACATCAGTGTCATAGTCACAGCTGTTTAAAGGAATGTTAAAGTGCCTGTGACATCTAATTTTTCTAATTAATATGAATTTGATAATGTATTGAGATGAACAGTTGCTGAGATATTTGCATGTGAAGCAACAGGAAGTGATGACTGCATGTGAACAGAGCATTGCTGCAGTGGCTAACAACAGACTGCAGGGGAGACCCAGGGTGAAATGGCCTCTTTGTGTCCACAGTACATTTGTCGAATCGGGACCGTTCACAGAATAACGGACCGAGGAGACGTCCGAGTCCAATACAGCAACAACATCCGCTGGACTTTCCACCCGGGAGCACTCACCAAGGTACGAACCACAGCTGAGCATCTGATTTTATTTTTACTTCCATTCCAACATCAGAATGAGTTCAGGTTTGACTTTTCACTCTGCCAGGTGAACACTTTCGGAGTTGGTGAACTTGTGCGAGTGCTGGACGAGATGGAGACGGTGAAGAGACTGCAGGCTGGCCACGGAGAGTGGACAGACAGCATGACTCCTGTATGCAAAGTTGTAGTATAATTAACATAATTTTTTCCTACATATAGGCAAGTAGAGGTCTATGCAGTACATGTTGTCTTGTGGGGTAACTTACAGACAGAGAGGGGAACGCAAAAATGTCTCATTCTGCAACTGAAAATATGGATGGAGGACCTCAGTTTAGCTTGTTAGTTTGTTGCTCTAACACCGAGCTAATACCTATAAGGTAATATAACATCGGTGCTAAAGCTAACATGCTAAACTGAGGTTCTTCTTCCATGAAGCAGCTCTGTTGTCCTCCATCCATATTTTCAGTTCCAGTCTGAGTCATTTCTACCTTCTCTCTCTGTCAACGCTCTCTGGTTTCATTTAAAAGAGTCAATCATCAGATATTGTCCAAGATTAACCTTCAGGGTGGATATAGCTCGCTAACACCCTCGCCCTATCCACGTCATCATTTACCCAGAATGCTTTGTGTGTAAATAAAATGGCTCCGTCCGTGTTAAAATATATTTTTAAAAATTATAAAAACTAAACAGACTGCAGTATTTTTAGTCTTTATTTTACAGTTAAAATAAATGTTTATCAAATAAAGTCTAATGTTACAACTAATCGTGGATCCCTCTAACTTCTTCTTCTGTAGGTCCTCGGCCAGGTCGGGAAGGTGTTGAAAGTATACGCGGATGGAGACCTGCGGGTTGCATTTGGAGGCCAGACGTGGACGTTCAACCCAGCATGCCTCACAGCCCAGCCCGCGGAGGTAGACGCTAACCTCATGACGGCCGAGAACCCCAACGAATCTGGAAGTAAGGCCTCCTTCGGGACCAGGGGGCTCACCTCGAACTCTGCAGCTCCAGCTTTACCTTGTCCATCTTAATTTTCATTTTTGTCATCCTCTCCAGCATTCCTTTCAGCTCTGGCTCTGCTTTGCATGCTTTTCTATACAGGCTGCTACGGTTCCATCAGTGGCCTCCATTTCTTTTTCCCTCCATTAATGTGTGAGCAGGGTGTCGAGCGCTCGTCCCTGTAGCATGCCACAATCCAGCATGTTGACAGCAAGAGGCTTTGGCAGCTCAGCAAACATTTGTCATCATGTCAGAAGTTCTCAGCGGACTCTTAATCATGTCAGGCTCTGTGTGTGTGTTCAYCTCAATGGATGGAAGACAAAATGATGTGTGTGTGTGTGGTCAGCTTCACTGCATGAAGGGACATTTTGACTCATTCCTGTGTTCAGTTCTGACAAATTCATCAGCTGGTGCAGCGCTGACTTTTAGTCCCTCTGCAAGACTTTTGTAGGTGGAATYGAAAAAAACTAACTCTTATATTTTTGTGTTTCCTCATTTCACCCCCCTCCTCCTGCGCCTTTGTTCAGGTACTGTCATCTCGGTGCTGGAGAAGCTGCTGTCTCAGTCGACAGAGCAGGACAATCCCAGCCGGCTGGTCATCGAAGCGGCACACGGCAGCGCCAGCAAAGTGCGGGAGTTGGTGCAGAAGTATCCCGACAAGGTGAGTGCAGCACGCTCCCGTCTCTCTTTGCTGCAGTCCTCTGTCTGTTCCAGGAGCTGTTTCCCCCAACAGTTCCATGAGACTGGTGGGAGAGGGAGGGGGATGCAAAGGGCAAAAGCCGTTTAGATTAGGCAGCGCTGCACTTTAAAGAAATGACAGTCTGTGATTATACAAAACAAAAAGGGCTTTTATTTATTCAGTGCTTTTATAATTTCACTCATCYAGTGAGTGGGTCTTGAAGTGCACATTTTGAACAAACAATTATGGAGACTTGCTGAGGATTATGGGAGCTGGAGAGTTTTCTAAAATACAAAATAAACCAGCCCTACCAGGATATTTCAGGCTTTTTTTTGTGATTGTTGGGGCCTAAAATGTTTAATTTTAAAGGGCAGCTTTTTCAGAAAGTTGTGCTAAAAGTTACATTGTTTTGTAATTTTATTTTTAATTTATGTAGGCTGAGACTCAATGAGTGAACAGAATTTAAAATATGA